GACAGACAGACAGACAGAAGGTATCCTAGAGTTGGAAGAGAGCCCAAGGGACATCCAGTTAAACCCCTTAGATAGATAGATGGATGGATAGACAGATAAATAGACAGATGGATGAATAGAAAGAAAGAAAGAAAGAAAGAAAGAAAGAAAGAAAGAAAGATGGGTGGGTGGGTGGGTGGATAATAGGTATCCTAGAGTTGGAAGAGAGCCCAAGGGACATCCAGTTAAACCCCTTAGATAGATGGATGGATGGATAGACAGATAAATAGATAGATGGATGAATAGATAGATGGATGGATGGATAATAGATATCCTAGAGTTGGAAGAGAGCCCAAGGGATATCCAGTTAAACCCTAGATAGACAGATGGATGGATAGCTAGATAGACAGACAGATAGATACATAGATGGATGAATTGATAGTTAGATGGATGGATATAGACATACAGACAGACGGATAATAGGGATAGAGATGGATGGACAGACAGACAGAAGAATTGATGAATAGATAAAGAAATAGATAATAGGGATAGAGATGGATGGATGAATGGATGGATAGGAGAGAGAGACAGGCAGAAAAATGGATGGTTAGAGGATGGAAGGATAGGTAAAAAAATAAATAGGGATAGAGATAGATGGATATATAGGAGAGATAGATAAATAGACAAACGGATGGATGGATGGTGGGTGGATGGATAGATAGATAGATCGATAATAGGGACAGAGATGGATGGATAGACAGGTGAATGAATGGGTAGATAAAATAGATAACGGACAGAGATGGATGGATAGATAGGAGATATAGATATTGACAAATTGATAGATGGTTAACAGAAATCCTAGAGTTGAAAGAAAGCCCCTGGGAAATCCAGTGGAACTCCTAAGATACATGCATGGATGGATAGATGGATAGCAGGAATCATAAGAGCATTCAGTGTCACCCCTAAGATAGGTAAGTAGGTAGATAGACAGATAGATATCCTAGAGACCCCAAGGGCCTATAATTATTCTGAGAGTAGGGATTGTATTAGAATGCTGCTTTGTCCTTGTCGTAGGTCTTCCTCTAGAGATTATTATTATTCATTATTCACTGTCCACCACTTTGAGCCTCTTTAAGAGAGAAAAAAGAATGCTGGGACTTGCAGTCCATTATTGTTGTTGTTGTTGTTGTTTTTGCTATTATTATTATTATTATTATTATTATTATTATTATTATTATTATTATTCCAGCCTCCTCAAACCCAGTCTGATTGTTACTTTGAGACTCTTTACGAGAACATAAAAGCCAGTATATATAATATATAATATATACATCTAAATAATGAGCAGCATATAAATATCAATATAATCATATATACCATATATACCAGAAGCGACTTGCAGTTTCTCAAGTCACTCCTGACACGACAAAAAAATAAATAAATTATATATAAATTCAATAATAGTAACTCCTGCCTTCCAAGAGCCACTCCTATTTGCCACTTTGAGCCTCTTTAAGAGAATAAGGTAGTATATAATAAATAATAATAATAATAATAATAATAATAATAATAATCTTTATTTATACCCCGCCACCATCTCCCCAGGGGGACTCAGGGCGGCTTACATGAGGCCAAGCCCAACAACACATATAAATATAATAATAATAAATATATAAATATATAAATTTAATAATAATATATAAATATAATATATAAATATAAAAAGCAGCATATAAATATAATACATAAATATAACAAAATATATAAATCTAATATATAAATGTAAAATAAGCAGCATGTAAATATAACATATAAATTTAATAATTACATATAAATCTAATATATAAATCTAATAAGCAGCATATAAATATAATACATAAATGTAATAAAATATATAAAACTAATAATGTATAAGTGTAAATTAAATAAGCAGCATATAAATATAACATAAATTTAATAATAACATGAATCTAATATATAAATCTAATAAGCAGCATATAAATATAATACATAAATGTAATAATAATATATAAATCTAATAATATATACATGTAAATTAAATAAGCAGCATATAAATATAACATATAAGTTTAATAATAATATATAAATCAAATAAGCAGCATATAAATATAATACATAAATGTAATAAAAGATAATATATAAAAGTAAATTAAATAAGCAGCATATAAATATAACATATAAATTTCAGAATAACATATAAATCTAATAAGCAGCATATAAATATAATACAGAAAAGTAATAATATATAAATCTAATATATAAATCTAATAAGCAGCATATAAATATAATACATAAATGTAATAAAATATATAAATCTAATAATATATACATGTAGATTAAATAAGCAGCATGTAAATATAACATATAAATGTAATAATATATAAATGTAATAAGCAGCATATAAATCTAATACATAAATATAATAATATATAAATATATAAATATAATAATATATAAATGTAAATTAAATAAGCAGTATGTAAATATAACATAAATGTAATAATAACATATAAATCTAATATATAAATCTAATAAGCAGCATATAAATAAAATGTATAAATGTAATAATTTAAATGTAATAACATGTATTAAGCAGCATATAAACAACATAATATATAAATGTAATAATAATAATATATAAATATATTAATATATACATGTAAATTAAATAAGCAGCATATATAATAATAATAATAATATATAAATTTAATAATATATATAAATTAAATGAGCTGTATAAAAATACCATAATCTATAAATCCAAATACAAGAAGAATAATTCCAGGCCCACTGACCCCCATTCGATGCAGGGGTGCTTCCCCCCTCCTCCACTTCCTGCTTCCGGCTTCCTCTTCCGCCTTCACGCGTCCTCCCCCTTCGGCGGCTCTGCGTCGACTGACCCAGCCTCAGGGACTCGGGGGCGTGGCTTCCGCCGAGGCCCCGCCCCCTCGCCTGGCCAACCACTCAGCGCGCGGCCGAGCGGCGCCCGCTGCCATGGCGACGGGCGGAGCGGGTGGAGGTATAGGGGAAAGGAGACTCCCGTTACGCATGCGTATTAAGTGTTGGGGGGCGTGTCCTGCGAGGAAACAGGCTCGGGTGTTGTCGTGAGGGCGTGGCCTTGGCGGAAGTGGCCGAGTCAAGGCGCCTCTGAG